TATATATATATATAATTTTTTTTTTTTGTGCAATTTTTAAAAAATTGCTTTCAGTACCTTTTGGAAGCTTCCTCAAACAAAGAAAATAAAGGTAACTGCAACTGTTCATATTAACGTTCTGGAGCTTTATTTCTCATAATTCGAATTTTTCTCAAACTCTCAGAATTGTATGTTCAAAACCTCACAGTTGAATGTTCTTGACACATAAGCATGTTTACGTTTCACAATTGTTTTTTCCTCGCAACGTAAACTCAAGAATCCTGAAGAAGAAACTCAGAATTGCGAGATATAAACTCAGAATTGAGAGATTAAAAAAATAATAATAATTTCATTATGTGTGAACTCAGAATTTTGATGGAGAATTAAACTGCGATGTAAATTCAGAATTTAGAGCAAAAAGGCAAATTTGCAACAACTCAGAATTTTGAGAAAACCGTAGAATGTTAAGTTTATAACTTGCAACTGCAAGATATAAACTTGCATTTCTAAGGAAAAAATTGTGAAAGTCACAATGACCTTTTAAATTTTTTTTTTTTCCCACAGGCGCTAACAAGCTTCGTTAAGAAGAGATTACACAACTATAATAATTCAAAACAGTCAATTACATACACAGCTTAAAGGGTTAGTTAGTTAACCCAAAAATGAAAATTCTGTCATTAGGGCCTTTCGCATCGCGGGAACCTTTTCATAGTACCAGAACTAATTGTGGAACTACCCACTTTTTGGCATTTTCGCACCGCCGGAACTGGGAGCGATTTTAGTACCGGACTGCCTTTTTCGAGAACCAAATTAGCTCCTACTCCAGAGCAGGGTCTAACCAGCACAACTCACCCTCATGTAGTCTCAAACCCGTAAGACCTTCGTTCGTGAATAATTTTTGTGCACAAAAGAAAAAAAAAAAAAACGACTTTATTCAACAATTTGTCTCCTCCGTCACCCTGGTGCCACTCTCAGATTCCATCAAAAATTTCTTAATTTGAGTTCCGAAGATGAACGAAGGTCTTACGGGTTTCAAACGACATGAGGGTGAGTAATTAATGACAGAATTTTCATTTTTGGGTTAACTAACCCTTTAAGATTTATTGTTCAGAACATAACAGTACAAAAGTAATTTTTTACATCACAAATTTAATAAATGCAGTACTTCTGCAAAACTGACATTATAGAACGTTCAAGAACGACAATTTCACATGCAGCCGATAAGACCGCACAAGCCAAGCGGATCACTTCAACCGTAACGACTACGGTAACAAGTTCATGAAAGGACCAAAAACAATATTCAATCCACGTAACAATTTCTCAGACAACCTCATAACAGAATATATACAAGTCCAAGAGATTCGAAGCAACTGCTAGTGAACTAATCCAGAACGAATGCCTAGAACTGCTGTGCGATGAGCTTTTTCTTGGCGTCGTGGGAGAATTTGTTAGAGCGGAACAGATCACTGTCGTAAAACGCAGACAGGTTGTGGATGTTAATCTGTCGGGCCTGAGAACAAAAAAGATAAGAGTTACAACACAAATTCGCAAATAACATGCAACTTCAGTACTTATGGGGACTTCTCAATTTAAACATCTATTAGTTACCTTGTCCACCAGATCTTTTTCAGGAATCTCGATGGTGTCCTGCTGGGCTCCGTAACGGTTGCGCTGATACGCAACCTGCTCAGAAACCAGCTGCTTTAGGACGAAGAGCAGCAGCTCGTTGTTGTCTCGTCTGAACGCCAGATACCGTGCAAACGTCTGTAACAATGCAACAAATACGAGTTCGGTTACCAACGTAAACCAGGATCGGACAGAATCCTTGGCGTCACTAGACTTGCACAGCTACCACAAATGGAAAATTGATGCCAGATCGATATAATCAGGTTGCTTACCTTCCGCATGCTCCTCATCACGCTGAACTTCTGCGTGTCAATGAAGCTTTCTAGCATGACACGGATAGCCATGTTCACGTCGTCCTCCAGCACGTAATCCCGCAGATGCATGCGGGCGTGTGCCTCGGCCATGCGGATCATGGACTCTATGTGACGCACGGTAATCGGGATACTTCCTGTAGCCTGCGAGACAGCATATGATTACTCTGATGTTTCTGCGATAACTGCGTTTTCTGTGTGCATTTAACGAATAATTGCAGAATGGCCTGAAAAATGGTGGAACTTTTTAAAATTGTCTTTGGCTTCAAATGCGACTCTTACCATAGACTCTTTTCGAAGGTCGCTGTAAATTCGGGCCACCTTGTCTTGGTCCATCTGGTTGAGTTTCGGTCGCACCCGCTCTTTGGCGTACATGATGTACTTCCTGAGCAGCTCCTGAGGGATGGGCGGGACATCAAAGGTGTTTGGCAGCACCACCTCCTCTAGACTGGCCACGCCCCCTTCTTTGTTGCTTGGGTGATGTTTGATGTGGCTGCCCACCACGAAGCGAGCCAGCATTTCATCCTAAACCAAAGAGAATTATCAGTAAAGCGATTGACAAAGCTTGGGCAGTCACTGTTAAGGCTGTTTACATGACAACAATGTACTAAAAATGGAAAGGTTCGCATTTTTTAAATTTTGCATACAGATGCCAAATTTTGTCAAAATGATCCCAGTTCACATGGATCCACGAAAACGGCTAAAAACACAGTATTATGTGTGCCAGGCCAGTAGATGGCAAGGTCAACTTCGCACATACCTATACAATGAACATAATATACAAGCACATGACTTTTTTGTAGTTTACACAGAGACGACTACAGTATTGTTCTCAAAAACTTGCACTTTGAAACCAGTTTTGAAACTTTACAGGCCCCCAAAAACGCTGTCGTCATGTAAATGAACGGCCAAAATGCATAAAAAGTAAAAATACACTTATTTGAAAACTGTGAACACCCTTAAGATGTCAACAGACTTACCTGCACAGGATCGACGGTGTCTCT